CCTCACTGTGCTGGGCCCCCCAGCATGCCTCGAAAATGGCTGCAGTTTCGCAGATCGCAGCCCCCCAGGGATGGCGAGGTCTAATTTGAATCCGCGCGTGGCCCTCACTGTGCTGGGCCCCCCAGCAGGCCTCGAAAATGGCGACAGTTTCGCAGATCGCAGCCCCCCAGGGAATGCGAGGTCTAATTTGAATCCGCGCGTGGCCCTCACTGTGCTGGGCCCCCCAGCAGGCCTCGAAAATGGCGACAGTTTCGCAGATCGCAGCCCCCCAGGGATGGCGAGGTCTAATTTGAATCCGCGCGTGGCCCTCACTGTGCTGGCCCCCCAGCAGGCCTCGAAAATGGCGACAGTTTCGCAGATCGCAGCCCCCCAGGGATGGCGAGGTCTAATTTGAATCTGCCCGTGGCCCTCACTGTGCTGGGGCCCCCAGCAGGCCTCGAAAATGGCGACAGTTTCGCAGATCGCAGCCCCCCAGGGATGGCGAGGTCTATTTTGAATCCGCGCGTGGCCCTCACTGTGCTGGGCCCCCCAGCAGGCCTCGAAAATGGCGACAGTTTCGCAGATCGCAGCCCCCCAGGGATGGCGAGGTCTAATTTGAATCCGCGCGTGGCCCTCACTGTGCTGGGCCCCCCAGCAAGCCTCGAAAATGGCGACAGTTTCACAGATCGCAGTCCCCCAGGGATGGCGAGGTCTAATTTGAATCCGCGCGTGGCCCTCACTGTGCTGGGCCCCCCAGCAGGCCTCGAAAATGGCGACAGTTTCGCAGATCGCAGCCCCCCAGGGATGGCGAGGTCTAATTTGAATCCGCGCGTGGCCCTCACTGTGCTGGGGCCCCCAGCAGGCCTCGAAAATGGCGACAGTTTCGCAGATCGCAGCCCCCCAGGGATGGCGAGGTCTAATTTGAATATGCCCGTGGCCCTCACTGTGCTGGGGCCCCCAGCAGGCCTCGAAAATGGCGACAGTTTCGCAGATCGCAGCCCCCCAGGGACGGCGAGGTCTAATTTGAATCCGCGCGTGGCCCTCACTGTGCTGGGCCCCCCAGCAGGCCGGCCTCAAAAATGGCGCGACAGTTTCGCAGATCGCAGCCCCCCAGGGACGGCGAGGTCTAATTTGAATCCGCGCGTGGCCCTCACTGTGCTGGGCCCCCCAGCAGGCCTCGAAAATGGCGACAGTTTCGCAGATCGCAGCCCCCCAGGGATGGCGAGGTCTAATTTGAATCCGCGCGTGGCCCTCACTGTGTTGGGCCCCCCAGCAGGCCTCGAAAATGGCGACAGTTTCGCAGATCGCAGCCCCCCAGGGATGGCGAGGTCTAATTTGAATCTGCCCGTGGCCCTCACTGTGCTGGGCCCCCCAGCAGGCTTCGAAAATGGCGACAGTTTCGCAGATCGCAGCCCCCCGCAGACAAGACAGGAAGAGGCAAAACAGGAAGAGGCGGGAGGCGGGAGAAGGGACGCGACCACACTGCTCTATTCAAAACGAATACCCAACCAAGGAGGGTTGGGAAAAAATCAGGACGTCGCATGTCTGGGGAGTCAGGGGGGGATGGGTCCCCGCACGATTTCGGGGCCCAGGTCGTTCTCCCCAGACCCCCGACGTCATGAATTTTTCATGACGTCGACCCCCAGAGGTTTCGACCTATTCCCTGGGACCGGCTTTTCATCCTGAGTCGTTTTTTGACGGTCCCGAGGCCCGGCAACGGCCCCCAGAGGCTGAAAATGACGAAAACCTCCCCCGTCGTGATTTTTTCACTACTCGAGGGGGTCTGGGTCCGAGGATGCCTCGGGGCGGCTCGGGCCTCCAGGGTCCGCGGGCCGTGCAGTGCCAGGCCGTGCAGCGGCGGTGAGGCCCTGGGGGACGCGAGGTCGCCGTTCGCTCTGTCCCCCCGCACTGGCTCTGGCCTGCGCGCGCGGCGGGCGCCCGGAACACCACCGCCGTGCCTGGCCAGGGCCACCCTGGGCCCTGGCATGGTGCACGCGGCCTCCTCCTCCTCCCCCTCAACCCCGTCCAACATGTACCCCTCTAATTCCTCCTCCTCCTCCTCCTCCTCCTCCTCCTCCTCCTCCTCCTCCTCCTCCTCCGCCCCCAGGGCAGAGGTCGGCGGGCTGGTGCAGCACCCGCGCGGCGCCCTGGGGGAACTTAAGCCTGCATAAATCTACCCCTAGTTGGGGGGTAGTGGGTGCTTTTCGCTAAACGGCCCGGGTTCGCCGCCCGGGCGCCAGTCTCAGCACTCGGGTCACCCCGCGCCCAGGGAGGTCGGGGGAGGCTCTTGGCGCGTGCCACCTGGTCCCCCTTGGGCAAGGGGACTTGTGGGGGTGGTCCTGGGCACCATTAAGTCTTGCGCCAGGGGACCCACCTGGCGGCCGAGGGTGTTCCAGAGTCCCGACCTGCAGAGCAGGCGGAGGTTTGGGCGGAGGTGGCGGCATCGCTCGGCGCAAGGGCGCCGACCTGAGGCGGCCAGAGGACCGTCCGGTGGCTGAGCTGTGAGGCGACGTAAGACTTAGCATCTGTATTTTTCTGCTGGGGGCGGCAAGGCCCGCCGTAGGTTCCCCCAGAGAAAAGCGGCACGTGCTGAGGCCGCTGGCCCACCTCGCCTCGGGCGCGCCGCCGCGCGCTTGGCGAGGTGCCGAGACCAGGGGCATTCACTCGTGCGCGCGAGCGCGCGGGTTTAAAAACTCCTCCTCCTCCTCCTCCTCCTCCTCCTCCTCCTCCTCCTCCTCCTCCTCCTCCTCCTCCTCCTCCTCCTCCTCCTCTGGGCTCCAGATGCAATGCAGCGAGGTCCGCGCCCTGGACTCCGGGCCGACGCGCGAGGCAGCGGGGTGCAGCAAGGTGACCCTGCTTCGGGATCCCTGCACGCGGCTGGAGAGCACCCGTTCTGCCAGGACATGGCCAAGGGGCGGCGCCGCGGCATCGGCCGCTGGTGCGCGGATGACCTCCTCGCGGTCACGCTCCAGCTGGTCGGCCTCCGCGTGGTCGGGAGGATCATGAGGGCCTCGGCGCTGCTCGCCAACGTGGTCTCGAAGGGGGAGAAGTGCATCTGCGTGCCCCTCTGGGCACCCCTCTCGGCGGAGGTGGAGGGCGAGGCGCGCCAGATCCTCGGTTCCGTCTCCGAACGGTGGCGGCTCTTCCGCATCGCCCCGATGGCGAAGGCGCTCGGGGTTCTCCTGGGCCCGGCAGCCTCGACGGACCTCCAGTGGGCGCCAACGCTGGAGAAGTGGGAATGGCGCACAGGGCAGATTGCAGCTGCCCCCTACAGAGACGGCGGTGCAGGTCTACCACGAGAGGGCCCTGGCGGTCGCCTCGTACAGGGCGCAGCTCATCCCGCTGCCGAAGCGCCTGCCCAAGGCTGAGCACCACGTGCTTTGTCGGCTGCTGCGGGCGCCGGGCAGCTGGCTCGGACTCCTGGACTTCTCGGCCCTGGACCTCTTCGCTCTGGCCCCGATGCACCTCCTTGGGGACCTCTGCGCCGCGGCCCGCGTGCGCACCGCCACGCAGACCTTGGTGACATGGCGCGCGATGGCGCGGGCCCTCCGCGAGACGGCAGCGCGGTGTCTTTCGTTCGAGGCCCTCGGCCGAGGGCTCGCGTGGCTGGGCTTCTGGGAGGCGAGGCCCCTTGCCATGCTCCTCGAGGAGGCGGCGACGCTGCTGGGCTCGGAGGCAGCCCTGAGGAGCGCGTCGCTGGAAGCCGAGGCGCGGCGCTGTGAGGGGGGGCGGCCCCGTTTTCAGGCCGCGCTGATGCGCGCCCTCGCGCAGCCCGATCGGCGCTCGGGCCTGGCTGCGAGGGTGCGCACGCGCCTGGCCAAATGGTTTGCCATCCCCCCGACCTCCCTCGTCCCTCTCGACCTTGATTCGCTTCGCTCCTTCCTCGCTTCCCTCCCCCCTGCATGGCGCTGGGCTCTTTTCAAGACGTGGACTGGGGGGTGGGTCACCGACACTAGGCTTAGAAACCCCCAACATGGGTGTCTCCTCGGCTGTGGTGGAGCCCTCGACTCACTCTCCCACTACATCGTCTGCCCCAGATTTGACGAGCTCCTGTTTCCGGTTTCGGGGCGTCCTGTTCCCTCGGACATGCTAGCCCGGCTAGCCCTCGTCGGCCACTGCACGGACGCGGCTCGTCTTCTGGTGATGCGTTTCCACCTTCATCGGCACTTGCATCAGGTCAGGAAGCGCGGGGCTGACGGGGCGGTTTCCGACCAGCAGAGTTTTGAGTGTGCCCGAGCCGCTCGGGCGGCTACAGACCTCCCGCGCGGCCGACGCGCCGTCCCAACCTTCGCCCGCGCCCGTCAACGTGCGGCGGCGGCCCGCCCAGGGCGTTAAGGAGCAATCGACCTCATTCCGACGCTGGCCCCCCTCCTCCTCCTCCTCCTCTTCCTCCTCCTCCTCCTCCTCCTCCTCCTCCTCCTCCTCCTCCTCCTCCTCTTCCTCCTCCCCTCCAGGTGCCAGTGCCTACCTTTCCCCCTCCAGGTGCTGCCGCGGGTGCCCGCCGCCGCCTTCGGCCCCGGCGTGGGGCACAGCCTGCAGCTGCCACCCTTCTACGTCAGGCAGTACGAGGCGCTGAGCCCCAGGTGGGCGGCGGTTGAAAACACGGGGTCGACTGCGCCGACGTTCCCAGACCTCCGACGTATTGACAAAAATCAAGACGGATGTTTTTCTCGATTTTCGGCCTGTGGCGGCCCTCGCCGGGCCCGGGGACCGTCAAAAAACGACTCAGGATGGAAAGCCGATCCTGGAGAATGGGTCGGGACTTCCAGGGACCCCGTATTGAAAAAATCACGACATCGGATCTCTGGGTTCGCGCGCAGCCTTCAGGCGTGCGGTCGCGCGTGGGCGTCCTCGCTTCCAGTGCACGGTGCCGCGCTGGCGGCCCGCGCAAGCCGCGGCGCAAGGTCGCCACGTCGCCTCGCGCAGGCCGCGTGAGACCCGTGGCTGTGCGCCCTTCAGGTGGGAGGCCGTGCGCCGGCGCAGCCTCAGCGCGGTGATCCTGCCGTCGCACCGCCCGCCGAGGCGCTCGCGGCGGCGCCGGCCGGCCCCCGGGCCCGGGAGCTACAGCGCGGAGGACGGGGCCCTGCGCTGCCTGCGGGCCGACCGGCTCGTCACGCGCTGGATCCTCCCGCGCCGCGGCCGCGGCCTCGGCGAGCACGAGCGCGGCCTGTACACCGCGAGGCCGGTGGACCCGTCCGTGCGCGGGGACCCTCGGCGGCTCGCTGCCGCGGAGGACGACCTCGCCGTGCGCCGGCGGCGGCCCTCGGCGCTCATGCGTGCGCCGAGCGCGCCCCCGGAGCTGCGCCGGAGCTGGGCGGCGGGGGACGGCTGGCGCTTCTACGACCAGCCCCCGAAGCCGCAGCCAGAGGGCCTCGGGACCTTCGCGCGCAGGATCGAGTTCGAGGACTTCCCCCTGTGGGAGCAGCGCTGGAGTGCCCTGGAGGCCGGCACCGCCCGTCCCGCGCCCTTCCGCAGAGCTCTGACGGCACGTGTCTTTTCAAGCGCGCCGCTTTCCCTCGGCTTCGCTCTCTGCATGGGGCACGTTGTCGGGCCCAGGGACCATCGCAAACGGATCTGGGGCGAAAAGTTCGCCAAGGGAAGGGGGCCAGGACCTTCATTAGCTGCCCTGGTAATTACGCTTTCGTTGGAAACGCAACACGTACCGTGCTTAACTTACAACGTCCGTGCTAATACGTTGCGTGGTGGCTCAACGTATCGGCCCACGTTTTGGCGAACGTATCGCGCCAGACCATCTCGGAGGCCGCGGGTTTTGAACGAACCTGATCGGAAGATGTCCGGGCGGGCGACTCTTCGCCGGAGTGGCCTCGGTTGCGTGGCTTCGGGGGGTCGCGGGGGTGGGGGGCTGGACCAAAGGCGCGCAGAACGACACCGTCGCGCCGAATGCAACGATCGGCAGTCACGCACCAAAGGTCGCCCACGCCTAGGGTCACTTTTGCGTGCAGCCGTTTCCCGCCTCCTTTCCGCCTCCTTTCCCCTTCTCCGTTTTCTCTTCCCCTCTTGTTCCAGGAGGGAATCATAGATACAGACACAAGTCATCGTCGATCCCAAGGACAAGATATAGGAAAATAGACGAAACGGGGGGGAATACGACAATATCCAGAAAATATGGACAACTAGGTGGAATCTTGGGACTTGTGTCTATCCATTTGTGAGTCCCCTGGGCCCTTTCATTCTTCCCTCCCGCCCCTCTCCCCCTCCGCCGGGCAGCCCAGACATCCGGACAGCCCAGACAGACATGCGTGGCCCCGGAGGTGGAGGGTTTCTCCGAAGGGCTTAGGCGACCCGTCCTCCTCCTCCTCTCTTCCCCTCCTCCTCCTCTCTTCCCCTCCTCCTCCTCCTCCTCCAACTCCTCCTGGGGATGCGGATTCCTGTTGTGGTCATTCTGACAGGTGGAGCCGTCTGCTGCTGCTGCTGCTGCTGCTGCTGCTGCTGCTGCTGCTGCTGCTGCTGCTGCTGCTGCTGCTGCTGCTGCTCGGCCCGCCCTCGCCCTTACCCTCACGGCCAGTGTCGCTCCTCGTGTTCTTCTTCCTCCTCCTCCTCCTCCACCTCCTCCTCCTCCTCCTCCTCCCACCCCTCCCACCCCTCCCACTCCGCCTCCCTCCTCCTCCTACTACCTCCTCCCCCTCCTCCTCTCCTCTCCTCCTCCGTATCCCTACCCCTCCCACCCCTCCCACCCCTCCCACCTCCTCCTCCTCCTCCTCCTCCCTCCTCCTCCTATCCTCCTCCTCCTCCTCCTCCTCCTCCTCCTCCTCCTCCTCCTCCTCGATCTTCGGTTCTCCAGCGTCGAGCCTGTCGGACGCACATCTTTGGCCCCTCGGGCTTCGGAGGCCCCTGGGCTGCCTCCGTGGACAGCTTCCCGAGGGGATCCTCGGAGGGAGAGTAGGAGGAGCCCGCCCGCCCCGCCGGCCCTGGCCTCCCGCCTGCGCGTTCGTCGTCGTCTGCCTGCTTCTCCCCTCCTCTTTCTTTCCCTCCACTGGGCAGCCCAGACATCCGGACAGCCCAGACAGACATGCGTGGGCCCCCGAGGTGGAGGGTTTCTCCGAAGGGCTTGGGCGACCCGTCCTCCTCCTCCTCCGCCTCCTCCTCCTCCTCCTCCTCCTCCTACTCCTCGTCGTCGTCCTCCTCCTCCTCCTCCCTCCTCCTCCTCCTCCTCCTCCTCCTCCTCCATCGCCCCTATCCTACTCCTCCTCTCCTCCTCCTCTCTCCTCCTCCTCCTCCTCCTCTTCTTCTTTCCTCCTCCTCCTCCTACTCCTCCTCCTCCTCCTCCATCTCCTTCTTTATTCAGTGTTTTGCCGATCGACGGCGGGGCCCTCACACCTCCACTCACGCCCACTCCCCCCCCCTATGGAGTGATCTTTGGCCGTTTTTGGGGCGCCTGTTTCGAGCGGGTGGAGTCACTCTCCTCCCCATAATGGAGGCACTGCTGCGAACAGCAGCACTAAGCAGAGGTCCGGAGCCAGACCCCCCCCCCTTCCCTCCCCCCTTCCGCCCAATGCCGAAACGCCGGAAAAAAAAACGATCACCAGAACTGCGTGGGCCGCGGAGGTCTGGACCACTTCCCTAAAGGGCCGCTTTCGCGCCCCGGGCCGTTTTTCTGTCGACGCGCTCCCGAGGCCCGGCGAGGGCCCCTGGAGGCCGAAAGCGGCCCAAGAACGTCCGCTCCGATTTGGTGGTTGGAGCGTCGGATCTCTGGGAGCACAGCCCGCCTGGGACCAGCGTTAAGTCGGGCCTGTCCCTCTACAGGGGGAACATTCATCAAAAATCGTCAAAAAATCGTTTGGTGACTATTTTTTGTTTTTTTTGGCATCTTTTGATTATTTTTGAATATTTTTATCTTTCGTCCAAACTCCCTTGTATGGGGACAGGCCCGACAAAAGACCAGCGCTGCGGCGCGCAGGGCTCTATTCTCGTTCTGGCCGCAGCCGGGGCTCCGACGCGGGCGCCTTCGGGCCCAGAGAGCGCAGGCGGGCGTGCCCGAGGCTGCAGGGCTCCGCGCCCCCTCGTCTCCACGCCGGAGGAGCCCTCGCCCCCAGAGCCTCGGCAGCGAGCCCAGGGGGGAAGCGAGATGGAGAAGGCCCTCTCAGAAGGCGGCGGGGCTTCTCTAGAAGCCCTCGCGCCCTCGGAGAAGTTTGCTTTTTCTTTTTCTGTCCTCGGGGAAGGCCGACAGGACACTGCTCAGGAGGCCGGGGAACCTCCGAGCCTTCCGAGCTCGACTAGACGTAAGAGCGACCTTTCGCCGGAGTGACCTTTGGTGCGGGCACAGATGGGCCCCCATGTGGCTGAAAACGAGGCAGGAGCAGCGGCTTGCGCGCCCAGGTTTGGTCTCCCCGCGGCCCCCAAAAAGCCGCGCACCAAAGGTCACTTTTACCCAGGGTCACTCTTGCGTATAGCCGATGAGCAGGCCTACTCCCTCTCACTCCCCCTCCGGGCTCGTCGCCGAGGGCCGTGCTCGCCGGACTTTTTCCAGCACGGGGCCTCCCGCAGTCCAGGCCCCTGCCCCAGGGCCGGCCTCTGCTCCCGAGCCGTGCCTGGACTGCCTCCCTGGGCCCGGCGGGGGCGCCCGCCGGGCCCGACGAGACGCTCTTCAGCCTTTTGGGCTGCTCCATGCGCTGGAGGGCGGGGTCTGCTCCGACGCCTGGCGGTAACCTACCCCTCCTCCTCCTCCTCCTCCTCCCCTCTCCTCCCTCCTCCTCCTCCTCCTCTCCTCCTCCCTCCTCTCCTCTCTTCCTCCTCCTCCTCCTCCTCCTCCTATTCCTCCTCCTCCTCCTCCTCCTCCTCCTCCTCCTCCTCCTCCTCCTCCTCCTCCTCCTATTCCTCCTCCTCGCGCCCTCCCCTCCTGCCGTCGGCCCCCAAGGGGGGCAGCCGGGGGGTGGCCCGAGGCACGACCGAGGTGGCGCGGTGCTGTGTAAATGGTGGGGGCACCGGGCACTAATCCCCGAGGGGGACATGCCGTACACGGCCAGAAACGTGGATAAGCGGGGGGGGGGCTCGCCGCTGCGCCTCGCCGAGAGCGTTTTCCGGGGGGTTGCCCGATCGTCCCGGGCGGCCGCGTGCGGTGCCGAGTCACGAACGCGAAAGCTGGGGGCGTCGAAGAGGTCAGGGGCAACGCTGCAGCCAAGGTGCGGAAATGAGGTCCACTTTGGGCTTAGGAGGGGCGCCGGTTTTTGGGCCGTCACCAGATCTGGGTCGAGAAGCCTGTTCGTGGCTGAGGTTGCGATGGCCAGGAAAGCCCATGTGTTCCCAGTTCGGCCGCTGTATGCTGGCGTTCGTTCTGATAGCACGATGGCTGTATCCTGAGTGTCTACACGGCGCTCACAGCACTCAAGGCAGGCCGCCACGCCTGGTGTTGGGAGAAAGGACTTGTTCTCCACTCCGTCCTCCGAGTGGCGAGCCCTCCCTTCAGCACCGCAGTCCTCGGCGAAGCAAGACGCAGCTTTTGCAGATCCGCGACGCAGAACCGCTCCAGGCAGGATGCATGAACACCACCTTCAGCGACGGGCGACCACAGCCGCAGCATGCAGAGAACGCAGAGAGCTGGCTGTAAAGGCGAGTTTCGACCTCGGCGTCCTCCCCTGCCCGCCTTCTCCCTCTGCCCCTTCGCGCACTGGATGTCTGGCCAGAGTCCTTCGCCTTCTTCCCTGCGAATTGGTCGTGCACTCGGACGAAACTCCTACGTCCGAATGCCGCCAGGGGGCTGGGCGAGCATGCCCTTCCCTGCCACCTCTCCTCGTCTGGGATGATGCAGGTGGGGGCATGCGCCGGGAGTTGGTGCGATGCCGGGCAGACGGGGGTCGGGCCACGCTCGCCTGCGGTGACGAGCCGTGGAGGCATGTGGAACCTGCGTGCGTTCCACAGAGCTCAGGAGGGAAAAAACACACAGACACAATGAATCGACGATCCCCAGGAAAATATGAGAAACTATGGGAAGTGGGGGGGAGGACAAAAACCCAGAAAATATGAGAGAAAAATGTGGGGAATATTTTTAGTTGTGTGTATTTAT